GACAGTGCCCGACATTTTCCCGTCAAACAAAGTGTCCGCTCTGAAATCCACTCTGCTTAGCTTGGCTTTAGTAGTGGATAAATCAATACTAGCAAAATATTTTCTTTCCAAACATCCTGGTGTTTCCAAAGCAAAAAAGTTGAACGCATTGCTAAACAAATCCTCATCAGCTGCATTCCTAGCTACCATGCACTTTCTAATATTGTCCACGATCTGGGCATGGGCTTCCGCACTTATAGCGTTGCTACTAATCAGTTCCTTGACCAACATATCCATCGATAAGGTGAACCAAGCCCGATAAGAGAGCGCCAGCGTGGACCGGTGAATAGTGTCATCCATACGCATCAGTGCCTTACAGTGTGGATCAAATGGTACAAAATGACGCTTCTGTTGTCCTGAATGAACCCATCGATTCTGTGGTACGCAATCCCTGGTATAGTTGTCCCATAAAGGTGGATCGAAACTGAGTGGCCATAAAACCCGAGACGGAGGAGCGTTTGATGGAATACGTTTCTCATCGTCCATAAGATCGGCGACTACGTAACGGTCATGACCCCAATATCTCATTGGGTACAGCAAATCGTTTTGTGAGTAAGAACCTGTGTCCGAATTACCTTTGTACTGCCGATTACCCCACGAGCCCCCTTCAACTACTCGCTGTGCGATAAAAGCCGACTGAAGTACATGTACCCTTGCAGACCATGGTTAAACTTTAGTCTTCTATAATGGCTTATTGCTCTGATTCCACGAGTTCATGGTAGCAACACTCAGCATAGGAGGGTCGGGAGTATTAAATAATGATCCTTGATCTTTTCGTCTCTACGAACTGATCGTTGTTTTGTTGCTAACAAAGCCTCTGTACTCTCTCCTCCAAAAGCAGATGCCCATTGTTGCATAAACTGGGACATCATCGTCATGGGGTATTCTCTAGTTCTCTTAGCATCGAAAAACATCTCCAGTAGAGGCGATCCAGAACTTTTCCGAGGCTGCTGCTCCTGCTCCCATTCAGTAGACGCACAGAGGCTCAAATACCACTCGTCCATTGACCAGTTCTCACAAACACGACAAGTATTCTGCCGCATGAACTACACATCGTATGCTTGTCAAACGTCGGAAATGTGAAACCACATTGACATCTTGCCGCAAGTTCCGCCACTTGTTGAGGGTCATCTGCCATCACTCGTGAGAAAATGATTCGAGAACTGATGAGTGAGAAATTCCTTCCTAGTAGTTGTTTTGGTCTGAAACTGTGCCAGAAAGCGATAGACAATCGCTGAGAGTCTGGTGAAAAATGTAACATTATTTTTCGCCACCACGAACAATACCCTTAAAAAAGGTCGGACTACGAAAGTCGGATTTAAAAAGAAAGAGATTGTGCAAGGGTACACACGCAATTCCAGGGATGGAATTCCTGGAGGTAATCCCATCCAAAGATTTTAATCCGGGTTGGGGTTACTGACAACTCAATAACCTGTTATTAGATAACTTTTAGTTATCATAACAGTACAGTATTATCATCCTATATGACATAATTCCACAAATGGTACTTCATACAGGAAATGTAGATGTATTTTGTTTATAATTTATTTTATAACATGTAAATATTTAATTTTCAATAATTAAGCAATATTTTTCAAACGGTTCAAATCAAGATTAACAAGACAGGAACTTGTGTATTAAGTGAGCATGCATATGATACCCATCAAACTGAGAGCTCTCCTTTGAAACAATTTGATATTGTACTCAGCAGATGATGAATTGTGTTACTCTGGTTATTACACATGAAAACCAGATGACTGATACTGAGGTCAAGGGTAAACCTGTACTTACTTGGCAGAACTTCTTCATCTTGCCTTATTGCTGGCATTTCTCTGAGTACATCCAAATCATCTTGGTTCCTTGCCATCCATCTATCAAATCTAAATATCAACTCTTCCTCTGTACTCCTTTCTTTCATTCTCACCTCTTGTAAATGCCATCCATCCCACTTGTCAATGTCATTGTGCCCGATACGGATTTTGTAAATCTTACCAACATTCAGCTTCACCTGGTATAATTGGTAGAAGATACTAATTACTAGCACTGCACGTAGTGTTTTAACACCAATTCAGTACATCAGCATCCAAATTCAGATAGCAATTTTATTGCGTTCAGATAAGTGTCTAGTACTAAAGAGGTTATGTTGTATGCTTATTTCATGTTTTTTTTTATTGTATAACAAAACATACTGCTCATTATAACTCATTTTTAAAAGGCTGCAGTTGTTACATCTCAAATTAATTCATTTTCCACAATGTGTCCAATGTGTTGATGGAGAGAAATCATGTAGTGGTGTTTCAATTGTAAAAGCAGGTGTCAAACACTTGCTAAAATTGCTAACTGCATGACTAGAAATTTTACCTGTTAACGCACTGCATTGGTGTTTGAAAACTACATGCAGCAGTAGTAAACATATGCTAATAAATCATTAGAATTTAAATTTAATATTATAATATCTACAGGTGTATTATCATTTCTGATTGTATTTCCATTTTTAGTCAGTACAGTCAGTGAATAGTAGGAGGTTATTACGAGGATACTGAAAAGTATGCACGAAGACAGTACAGCGGGAGTATCGATCAACGTGTTTGTATTACAAAGAAAATGTTTTGTTAGATCATGACATGGTATATACTTACTCTCTCAAAAATATCTATTCTACCAGGCTCAAAATACACTGTATCATTATCTCCCAGTGGAATATTATCTGATTTGCCTTGATCACCATACACAACAAGATACACTACAGCCTCCATGGCTGGAATAGAGTCTTCCGCAGTCACTATAGTTATGTCCCATTCTCCCTCTCTTTGTCCTGGCAATAGCTCCCTTTCAATAGTATTATCATCTTGCCCAACATCCAACCATCTAAACATGTGATATGGAGAGTTAAAAGCAATAAATGACATCAATCTTAATACAGGAACAAGTCATTGTTAATGACACAGTCCCCGTCCAAAATTGTGTGATCTGACATATCAATTTGATGCTAATGAAGTCATTGAGATTAGATTGAACCATTAATAGGAGATGGATTTGTAAAAAAAATATGATTTAGTGCTTTTACACAAGAATTGGACATAGGGCAGTCATATTGAATCAAATCACAAAAAATAATGTTGATGTATCTATTGGTATACCGTCTTTGTACAAAATTTAAACAGAAATGTTCATTGCATTCATGGAAAAGTAGGCATGGGTATCATGAAAAACAAAATGACCACCAGTCAGCCATATTAGTTTGAATCACAGAAAAAAATATGACATGCAACTATAACCCAATATGTATGATCATCATACCAACTTTGATCCAAATCAGCCCAGTCATCTTTGAGAAACTGCTGCGGACACGTTTAGGTATCAGAAATAGCAAATTTTACATCCAAAATTATGTATTGTCTTCATGTAAAGTTTGAATAAAATCCGTCAATGGGTGTCCGAGATATAGATCCGGATGTACGTATGAATGGATGGATGGATGGACAGGCCGAAGCCAAATTAATAGTTCCCGTTTTCGGACTTTGTCTGAACGGGGACTAATTACCAGATTATTAGCAATGTTATGACGTACAGTAATTTAAAATATTGTGTTTTGATTGCTACTGTAACATAATAAAAACATAAGGAGTATGAAATTGCCATGTATCAAGTTGTTTTATATATTGATACATCATTTTGAATATATCAATTGTACTCAGAGGTCACAATAACTATCAGTAGCACAAGAAAGAAAGGGAGAGAGAAAACAAAAATGTTGATAATGACACTCAGTACAAATAAAGTTTTGTAGCGTTGAGAATCTCTTATGTTAAAGATATCAAATCTGGAAGTGGAAATATATCAACAAATTAGATACAGTGGATAGATATCAACATATTAGGTGCAGCGGAAAGATATCAACAAATTAGGTGCAGCGG